CGGCCGGTACTCAAAGCAACGACAAAGGAAAATATCAAGAACTGGAGCTCGGCCACGAGGGAAGCCACGAGGAACAGGGAAGCCCTGCGGCGCATTACGAATTGGCGCCGGGAAAACGAACAAGCGAGCAATGACGAGCTGGAGGACGCGACTGAAAATGCGGTAGAGAATCAGCGACCCAAACAAGGCGGGCCGCACATTCCAGCGCATTTTCGCGCGCATGTCCCGATCAAGGAGGTTGTGAATCTCCCGCGTGATTTGGGAAGTACCCGGCCACATACGACCACTGCCGGAAACGGTGTCAACAAAGGACGGCCCGCATCCCCTTCCACCATCGCGGATACTGAGCCGGTGTACGACTCGCCTCGCTCCGACGACATCATCAACGGAGCACGACGTGTGAGCGACTCGACCGCTCCGACCCAGGACGACGACCGGCCCCGACAGCAGGAATCTTCCGCATTGTCCCATGGAGATCGTTCCGCCGTGGATATCCAGGCCCTGGAGGCGAAATTGGCGCAGCTCAAGATGGCCGAGGACGAGGCACTCGTCAAGGATGCCTTCAAGACGTGGGAATACTACTTCCAAATCGTCCAGGATACGAACCGTGAACTCTTGGCCGTTGCCGAGGATGTCGAGGACCGCGACCTCAAGAATGAGGTCATTGAGGTTTGGAAGAAAGAATACTGGGCCCTCCTGGAGGAACAGGCCAATATCCAGGCGTTTGTCGAGCACCGGGAGTACACCGAGCGCATGGAAAAACGCGCGACAAGGGTATACGAGATCTACACTGTTCGTACCACGATCACGTTCTGGCACGGCTTTGCGCTGGATGAACGCGACCGGACCGCGGTAGCCCGAAGACATCTGGTGCGCAAGAAGGCTTTTGAAGCCTGGCGCCAGCAGCTCATCGAGGACGAGGCCAAGGTTACCAACTTTATCCTGATGCATGCGCTGCAGAAATGGAGCCAGACTACCCTGCTTTCCGAGGTTCGCCATAGGGTGGCGATCAAGACGGACCAGCATGCCCTCATCAAGGAATGTCTGGGCATCATGCAGGAAACTCAAAAGATGCATCTTGCGGACACACTCTGGTCGGTTCGGATCTTCAAGTTCAGCCTGAACACCTGGCTCGACAGGGCGAATGATGCTATGGATCAGCACGAGCTAGCCATTGACGTGGACGAGAGACTTGTGCTCGACGAGGCAACCGGCATCTGGCACGAAGAAACCCTCTACCTCCAGGACACGGCAATGGAAGCCACCGTCGAGGGACTGAGACAGGAATGCCGCAGGACCATGGCATACTGGCAGGAGCAGGCAAGGCTCAATAAACTTCTGAGATGGTATCAAGATGCCGACGAGGAAGACACAAGGTATCACGTTTTGGATACGTGGTATTCGGCCTTTCAAGGGGCTCTTCAGGATGCCGAAGATGCTGACGCGATTCTGCTCAGAGAACCTCTCAACCGGTGGGAGAACGTGACGAAGCTCAAGATGTTTACCGAGCGCGATGACCAGTACACGATACTCGACGTGCTGTCGCATTGGGCGAACGAGGAACGGCTCGGGTTCTGGAGACGTTACACGGACGAGTTGGCGATGGAGGGGACGCTCAAGCAGGTGCAGGCTGCTGCTGTTAGGTCGCAGAACGAACGAGCGGTTGACGAACGAAAGGCCATCAGCATGGATAACTATTATGTGTGGGGTGATGTGGTGGATGAGTGGTTGATGGCGCTGGATGTGGGGGTGGCCTGGAAGCATCGACGGAATGCAGATGTGGTGAATATCTTTCGCACTTGCAGGCCGATTGTGGATATGTGGCTGGATTACCACTGGGCGATTCTGGAGAGGGACCGTCGTGCTGCGAGACAGGCGGACAGCATGGTCAAGCGTTTCCGTGTTATTGGAACACTGGACAAGTGGCCGGTCATTACGGAGAAGAAGCGAAGGGAGAGGTTGATGAGCTCGCTGCGGCAGTTTCGGCGCGATTACAAAGTCAAACTTGCGAGTTCCTGCTTGGAGTGGTGGTTTCACTTTGCTGGTGATCATGTGGACACTGGCAGATATGCTCATGATACCAATATTCACTATGAGAGTGAGGATATCAACGGGCAACTCAATCACTGGCTCGAAGTTGCAAGGACAGCCGGAGATATGCAAGATGTGGCCGTGGACGCCGAATTGGAGGTCCATTGCAACAACTGGATAGAGGAGCTGCACGAAGCCCAGGCAAACGCTGAGTATGCCATCAACTATGACGAGGACAAGACTCTTGGTCAGTACTGGCAGGCTTGGGAGTTTGAGGCTCTGCAGCAGACAAGCAGGAACCGCATGGCTCTCACGGTCAAGGAAAGAAACGACAAGCGTTGGTGCAGCCAGATCTTGGACGAGTGGCAGCAGGAGGCCAATCCGGAAATGACACAGCTTGATCCGAGAGCCAGCATCATGTCCCGCCGCAGCAACAGGACTCGGACCCACGGGTCCGGAGATGATACCCTCGGCCCAGGCGGCTTCACAGCAAGCCAGCTGGTCACCGTCAACACCAGCACCCTCCCCGACCGTTCTCGCTTCTCCCGCCCTACCTACCCAGAAACACCTCGTGTTCCAACTGTCTCCCAACTCGGCCGCAACCCACCACTCTCTGCTCGCTTCTCCACTCGCTCCAGAAGTCTTGGCCCAATGCTCGAATTTGACGAGACTAGCTTCTTGCCTGATGCTGAGACCAATGATCCTGGGTTCATGAGCACTCCCACGAGAAGGACTAGCACTTTGCGGCCGTTGGGTTATCGACCCACGACTACCCCGTCTGCTATCCTCCCCAGCCCCTTGGAGCGGGGATTGAGGAGTGAGTACGGCGCGAACGGTAGCTTGGGAAGTACTCCAGGGATCATCAGGTCGAGGCTGGGCCAGCCGCCGTTCAGGGGGAGCACGTTGAGGACGAGGGTCGAGTTTGCGGATATCAGTGAGGCTAGTGCTGAGGATCAGTAGTCATTCCTCTGTGGCGCCGCTCTGGTATAGATACGATGTACGAGTCGCTGTGTGTGTGTTACAAGACGGGACTGGGTGTCTGTTTCTAGCGTCTTGTTTATACTGTTTGTTTTTGTTACTTTGAATGCTGGCTGCGTGGTTTGGTTTTGGATATACCCCAGGGCTCTAAAAAAGCAAAGGTTTTTTTCTTTCTCTTTCGGTGGAAAGTCTTTTTTTTTCTTTTCTCTTTTTCAATATTTGTTTATTTTTGGGTTTGCATGGCATGGATTGGCGGCATTTTTTTGGTCGACTACAACGGGAGACTCACACTATAACAAATCGCATGGCGAGCGAGGCGTAAGGTTTATGGGTTTGAAGCTTGTAAGGCTACTCCGTC